GTGCCTGTCGGGGCGCGCAGCATTTTTTAATCCTTGGTGGCACTGAGGAGAGGGCCACTCACAAGTCCTGTTCAACAGAGAGCCGTGACCTCCTGTTGTTCTTCATGTAAATCAGAGTAGAGAACGCCAACTCCAGAGATGGGGTCGTTACTAAAAAAATGTAATATATTAGATATTACTTCTTTTTTTTTAAAGTAATATATTACACTACTTCGTTACTATCTACATAGAGTAACTCGTTACTTTACTCGCCGAGCACGTACGAACTGCGCGTGAGTGGCAATAACTTTCCTTACCAGCAAGTGGCGGTAGTGTGTATTTGTCATTCAAAACAGGCAACAACCGGAAGACAGGCATCTCTGCTTGTCTAGCTGACATCTCTCAGTGGATGTCTGCTCACCACCTCAAGCTCAACCTTGACAAGACTGAGCTGCTCTTCCTCCCGGGAAAAGATTGTCCAACTCTTGACCTGACAATCAACATCGGCACCTCAGTTGTTTCCCCGACTCAGACTGCAAGGAATCTGGGTGTGACCCTAGATAACAACCTGTCCTTCACTGCAAACATCGCTGCTACAACCCGCTGCTGCAGATACACGCTTTACAACATCAGGAAGATACGTCCCCAGCTGACTCAGAAAGCGACTCAGGTTCTGGTCCAGGCTCTCGTCATCTCACGCCTAGACTACTGCAACTCCCTCCTGGCTGGTCTACCTGCATGTGCCATTCGACCTCTGCAGCTCATCCAGAATGCAGCGGCTCGTCTGGTTTTCAACCTTCCTAAATTCTCCCACACCACTCCGCTCCTCCGCTCCCTTCACTGGCTTCCGGTAACTGCTAGAATCCACTTCAAGACACTGGTACTTGCTTACCGTGCTGCGAATGGATCTGGCCCTTCCTACATCCAGGACATGGTTAAACCGTACACCCCAGCGCGTGCACTACGCTCTGCATCAGCCAAACGACTCGTTGCGCCCTCGCTGCGAGGGGGACCCAAGTTCCCATCGGCAAAAACACGTGGGTTTGCTGTCCTGGCTCCAAGATGGTGGAATGAGCTCCCCATTGACATCAGGACAGCAGATAGCTTACACACCTTCCGGCGCAAACTGAAAACTCATCTCTTTCGACTCCACTTCGAGCGTTAGAACTATTAACGAAGCACTTTTATACTAATAAAGGACTGGATTACCTAAAGCCAGTTGAGTAGCACTTGAAATGTTTGGCTCTATGAAACCTGATATACTTATATGATTCTGTTTTCTTCAAGGTTGTGTCTTCCTGGTCGAATGTACTTATTGTAAGTCGCTTTGGATAAAAGCGTCAGCTAAATGCAATGTAATGTAATGTAATGTACAGAGAAGAAGAACAGACTGCGTGATATAAACAAACAACAAATAGCTGTGCGGTAGCTTCACCTTAGCATGAGTTCTTTGCAGGTGTTTGTTGAGGTGTGACGTGGTGTTTCCAGCAGTGGATAACAGCTGCTGGCCTGGACACAGTTTGCACCTCACCGTCACATTCCTGTCTATTCTTCGGACGAACTCAAAATAATGGGCATACCTCCACCCCTCGAAAGTTATCGCTGACTCAGCCATGTTTATGCAGCACTGCACGTGGAGATGTGGACGCGCAAATCGCGCAGATTGCGTACATATAAACCTACAAAGTACTGATATAGTAAATTAAAACATAATTATTTTTGTGTAGTTGTATATTGCAATAATAACGTATGGTTGTCACAACATCCCACGGCACACCCGGACTTGCCTCACGGCACACCGTTTGGGAACCACTGCCGTAGAGGAGTGAGTTGCAGTAGTCAAGGCGGAGGAGATGAAGGCGTGAATGAGTCGCTCAGCTGCAGGGCGGGTGAGAGAGGGACGGAGTTTGGCAATATTGCGGAGGTGGAAAAATGAGGTTTTTACAACTTGACGGATGTGGGGCTCGAGGGAGAGGGTGGGGTCAAATATAACGCCAAGGTTGCGTGCCTGGGTGGAGGGGGAAACAGGGGTGCCATAAATGGTGACTGTCAGGTTGGGGGTTTTGCTGAGGGTGGATTTGGAGCCGATGAGAAGGAGTTCAGTTTTATTGTTGCATACAATACATAGCATAGCATACAATATTAATTAAAGTGAAGTACAGTGCAAATATCCCTTATATCCCTTCACAGAACTAAAGTATGCTTTTAAAAAAGGTTTAATGAGATGATGGAATCAAAGCTGAACTGTATAAAAAGGCGCATGCTGTCTGTGGGGATTCTCCCCCAGGAGATTTTTAGAAATACTAACATAAACTATGCATTCTGGTACACTCTGAGAAGAAAATAAATAGATGTATTACTACCCGACATGTTAATATTGTATACCATTGTTTGTTTTTCACTTTGTTCTGACATCTTGCTGCGAGAAGAGCAAAGAGGAGAGAGTCTGTGTGACTTACTTTTAAATTGTGGGTAAGGGTAGATAGCTCCCATTGTTCTGTGACCTGTCAGTCATCAGACCGGGGGTCATATTTCATTATATGTTCATTTGTATCTGAAGTTGTAACCATGGATGTATAAAGAAGAGTTCTACCGCTAAGTTATTCTCCGTGGGGACTTCCGGCAACAATCTTGATTCTGATTGGCCAGAAGAAAAAACATCAGCAAAGATATTTTATTGAGAAGATGATCACTGTGACAGAAGTTTTCAAAACCGTTTATGGTCTCCGGTACTTCCAGTCCATCGCCGACTGCATGCACCATGGATGTATAATGCATGCACAGCGTAAGAAAATCGGGCCTTCAAAATAAAAGTTTGACTTTTTCCCCCAAAATTTTTTTTTAAATGTTTTGTCTCCATGCTTTAATGCTTCAATTTTTTTTTCCAATTTTTTTTTCTTCACTCACACATCCGCGACCCACTACTAACAGGTCCGCAACCCACTTTTGGGTCGCGACCCACCAGTTGAGAACCACTGATTTAGAGGGTGAATGTTGTGAAGTGCATTTCCTCAAAAACTGTACTTCAGGACATTTTGGGATTTTAATCTGTGTCCATGATAGATAGAAATGTTGAAGACGATTGCTTTTGAACAGTTACATCACTCCAAGTTAAAGGTCCCATATTGTACTGTTTCTCATCAATATATTACAGGTCTCAGATACAGAACATGTCTCTGATTGGCTGAAACACCAAACAGATCATTGCAGCATTACCCATAATCCCCTCTGTTTCAGCCCTGTTTCCAAAGTGCTGATTCTCTGTCTGTTACTTTAGATCAGGGGTGCCCAACCAGTCGATCGCGATCGACCGGTCGATCGCGAGGAGATTCCCAGTCGATCGCGAGATGTGTCTAAAAATAGAACAACAACATTCTGTTTTATCGTTAATGTCCTGTAACATAATGTTCCTGTGCCAGAATAATGCACTTGAACGCATCAAAGCTTTGTGATTGGCCGGCGTGACCCCATGTGTCGGGGCGTGGCTGGTGGGCATTGGGCAGTATTTCGCTGACGTTGTTGTCCGACCTTGTCAACAGGAGTGACAGACCGCACACACAAGACCGCAATTATGGCAGAAGCAAAAAAGCCCAAAATATATAATTTTCACTCCGAGTGGGAGGATGATTATTTTTGTATCTATTCCAATTCAAAGTCCATCTGTCTCATCTGCAATGCGAGCGTGGCTTTATCGAAGAAGGGTAATTTAGGAGCAGCATTTCAAAACAGTGCACAAACGCTACGAGACGGAATTCCCTCCTAATTCTGCCCGACGCTCCCAAAAGGGGAGGGGCCTGAAAGGACAGCTAAATGCACAGCAGTCCATTTCCACCAGGCCCAACAACAAGAGCAAGGCTGCTACCAGAGCATCTTATCGTGTCAGTCACGTTCTTGCGAAACACATGAAGTCTTTCAAAGACGGCGAAGTTGTGAAAGAAGCATTCCTGGAGGCTGCCGACGGGCTTTTTGGGGACAGTAAAAATAACAGCAGCATTTCAACAGGTTTTTGATAAAAACTCAAGTTTGATACCGTTATTAATCAGCTGTAAGTTTTAGTTTGTTTGAACTTATTCATTATAATTATTGTACAAAATTGTATAAGAATGCAAACATTAAGATCTGTTCTGTTTAAATTGATTATAGTCTATTATCAATTCAGGTTAAGAAACTAGTGTTGCTTGCATCCTATTTTAAAAGGCATTTATTTTTATATTCTACTAAAATGCAACAAAAAAAGGGTTTGATTCTATTAATTTTGTCTTTTTTATTGCATTTTGGCAGCAGATTCCTGTGTAGCTTCAGATCTGAGTTGTCTTAGTAAGCCGAATGTATACTTTTGTAGCAACACTATTTGTATATAATGGCAAAGAATGGGTTCAGAGTCTTTTCTTGTTTTCCTGTGTCATGTGTGGCAGCACTGTTCAATGTTTCTTGAAAACATTACCCACTGTAGTGACGTGTGAATAAACTCCAACTCTGTATCAACAACACTGTTGTGTAACTTCAGTTAAATACTTGTATGTGTGTAGATTAGAAAGAGGTAAGATAAAGGATCTGCAGTATTTTATGAAGTATTCATCGTACAAAGGTCAGTTTTATACAAGTAGAAGTGTGTATTTACCTGGTAGTAGGCTGTCAGTAATGGCTACGCCTCTCTATTTGGACTGGTAGATCTCGGCAGACTGGCAACTTTGAAAGTAGCTCTCGGTTCAAAAAAGGTTGGGCACCCCTGCTTTAGATGAAAATAAGGAGCCCCTACCCACGCCCCTCTGAGAGAGATTTGGTTACAAAGAACTCAATGGTGCTCTAGGAGGAGATTCAAGTGATAAGAGAGGAGAGGGGGGGGGGGGGGGTTACCTTGGTTGCTGATTGGCTAATGGTTACACAAGACAAAACTTCATTCCAGAAACGGAAGATTGGCAAACAACATATGAGATTGGACTTTTTGGATACCTGAATCTGTGAAAAAGAAGGGCAAGGATATATAAGTTATGACTGAAAGTAAAAGCGAAGAGACTCACCCTCTCCTCCTCCTCCCTGAGGTCTGGCATGGTGCTGACACACAGCGTCACAGCGGTGATGGCTACAAATATAACCGACAAACAGGCGAAGATCTTCCCGGGTAAACCAGAGTGTGGGTTCTCCACCATGTCCCTTAATCTCCTCATGCATCCCCCCGCTCGAGTCTCTTCTGGAGCCTCCATCTCAGGCGGTTGTGGACTCTCCTGGCAGGATTGTGGCGTTGTTAGCTCTGCTTCCTCTTCCTCCTCCAGTCTCTGTTGCTCCTTGAACTCCGCCTGTCTGAGCCTCAGTTTCCTAAGGCAGCACCAGTCTAGATTTTTCTCCTCCACCCCCCAATAGAGCAGCTCCTCCTGGAACGACAAGGCGCACATTTCCCTCAGTAGCCTCAGTTTCCCCGCGGCTAAGAAACACACGATTGTGCGGAAAGCCGACGGACTTCGGTCGAAGAAATACTCGTTTCGGCTGCTGTCGTAATCGTCGCACAAATCCATGATTTCATCCTCGTTGCTGCAGCTTCGCAACTTCCCCAATCGAGTCAAAGGGAATTCGTCCAACGTAGACCAAGGGATTTGGTACTTTATCCCGCCGACGTTGATAATGGCCGCCCCGTCAGAAAGGCCGATCTCTCCTCCATCTTGTTGTCGAGGCTGAGGCTGGAGAAGAAGCTTGGCTCGCTTGTAGAACAAACCCTTTTTGGCCAGGACCTCCTTCTTGTTCTCCACAGGTTGGAAGTGGAAGGTGGTGAACTGGTGCTCGGAGCTACCTGCCAGGAAGGCCACCTCCTGGTACATCACGGACACTTTTCCTGCACAATGTGATGGTGTTCACAGGGGAGGTGACTAGATGTTGTCACCCATTCAGCAACACAGAACGTCTCTGTGGGACAGAAAAGAAAAGACTGTCACGATCTGTCTGTGTTTTATTTTGTATTATTAAGATCTGTCTTTGTTTTCCTGTTTTATTCTGAAAGGTGCACCCCCCTAGTTATGTCTGCTCTTACTTCCTGTCTCTGGATTTCCCTCCTGTTTGATTACCTGATTGTGTTCACCTGTGTTTTCTCTCGCTCCCCACCTGTGTCTTGTCTTGGTGATCACTGTATTTTTATGATCAAATAGTTTGCACAAGAGACGAGCATGACCATAAGACGAGACAAGCTACATCAGGCCATCTACTGGCACCTAAACCCAGGACAAATCTTCTGAACTCTTCTGTGTCTTATAGAGCTATAAAGGAATGGAACTCCAAACTACCTTGCTGAAATAGAGTCCAGAGCCTCTTTCAAGAAGAGATTGAAGGGCCATCTACTAATGACCATGTACCCTTGTGAGCTGTGAGCTTTGTACTGGTGGGTGTCTTGTGCACTCATCCTTGGCTGAGATTGATATTGAAAGTGGATGACATTGTTGATGATGTTGGAGATGTTGTTAATGATGTCAGGACTTACATCTTGAATGTTGCTGTATTATTGTTGTATTGTTTTAAGTGTCGGACCCCAGGAAGAGTAGCTTTTGTCAAGAGCAAAAGCTAATGGGGATCCTTAATAAACATAAACTCTTGCTGGTATTTAAGTTCTGTTCATCTTTCAGTTGGTGTGAGATCCTTATCTAAATTGAATGTGTTCACTGGGGAGAGAGTTCTGCTCTGTATGTGTATTTTGTAGCCTTGAAATAAAAGTATTTTCAGTTCAACCTTGAATTCCTGCATTTGGGTCCTGCCTGCTTCGCTCACCCTGATAAAGACAACCATTACAGCCATGGCCGATCTGTCAACACTCTCACTTCATTCAAACAATCCCTCAAAACTCACCTTTTCACTCTTGCCTTCAACTCCTAATCCACTAAGCCTTCACCCTTATTCCACCTAGCTTAGCACTTTTTACTTTTGTTATTTTTCTTCTTTACTTGCTTGTAAAGCGCTTTGAGCACCAGGAAAAGCGCTTTATAAATCACATGTATTATTATTATTATTATTACATTTACTCAGTGTCTATGCAGGCTTTTTAGGATTGCATGGTTTAATTCTATCCATCTATCTATCTATCCATCCATCCATCTATCTATCTATCTATCCATCCATCTATCCATCCATCTATCCATCCATCTATCCATCCATCTATCTATCTATCCATCCATCCATCCATCCATCCATCTATCTATCTATCTATCTATCTATCTATCTATCTATCTATCCATCTATCTATCTATCTATCTATCTATCTATCTATCTATCCATCCATCTATCCATCCATCCATCCATCCATCTATCTATCCATCTATCTATCTATCTATCTATCTATCTATCTATCTATCCATCTATCTATCTATCTATCTATCTATCTATCTATCTATCTATCCATCCATCTATCCATCCATCTATCCATCCATCCATCTATCCATCCATCTATCCATCCATCTATCTATCTATCCATCCATCCATCCATCCATCCATCTATCTATCTATCTATCTATCTATCTATCTATCTATCCATCCATCCATCCATCTATCTATCTATCCATCCATCTATCCATCCATCCATCCATCCATTCATCCATCTATCTCCTCAGCAAACACTTGAGATACGTCAGTCTTTAAAAGTTTTAAAGAAGTCAGTATGTCTCAGACAAAGTACTAGTTGAATGGCTGAAGAAACATTATATCCATTTGAATGATTATTGTGTCTAGTCCATCTCTTAGACCTGGTCACAAAGCATTTCAGTTCTAGTTGAATCGCCTTGATTTGTGCATTTGCTCATGCAAATACAATTGCATTAACATTTTGACCAAACGAAAGCCATCTTGACGAACCAGAATTGAGGAAGCTATCGTAGCTTATTAGCTGTATTGCACAATTAGCAATGTTCATTATATTAGATAAGTGCCTAGAATGAGTGGATTCATTTTGGTGCATCACTTTCTACCAAAACCTATAAACACTTTTCTTTTCAGACATGGACAGACTGTACTAACTTGGTCTCTTTCAGTATAATCTATGACGCATTCGCTTTCAGTCAGACAACAATGTTAATCTCTAAAGAAAATATTTCCTGCTTCACACGGTATGTGAGGAGACTTGAGACCATTCAGCAAATCAGAACATCAAGAATAGCCAGCAAATACATGTATTCAATGTGTTTACATCTTTCTATTATATCATAAAACATTCGGTCCATGGTATGTGCTGTGACTTTGAATCCACCTAAATTGGACAGCATCAGACTTAGAGAGGAAACACATATATATATATATATATATATATATTGTAGTCCTCACAAAGGAAAACACATTTTGTCAACTGTACAATCCTTGTTTTTAACTACATCTCTTGTTTGAATGAAAGAAGAACACATAAATAATGTTGAAAAAGACCCGCAAGACAAAAACAGTGTATATGTAAATCTTCTCTGCACTCTAATTACAATGGAAGATCAAAGAAAAGCCACTTTATGTCAGCCTGAACCAAAAGCGTAAACACTAATAATGTTGTTTTTCCATTCAATGCACCACCAGGCATTGTATAAGTAACTGTGAAAACAGCACAATGAGGCAGGGATGGTCTAAAAGCAACGCATCAACGGCTACATACAACATATGTGAAGCAAACACATGTTAAATGTATGTGGTTATGGTTTATTCATGTTTCATTTCATATGAACACACAGCTTCTGAAGGCATTATTCAAAACAGGCTTTTCTGTCCACATGAGAAAGGATCAAAAGGACAAGGCTTTTATAAGAACAATGCATTACTTATTTATGTGGTTAAGGATGTAGTTAAGTTGATTGTAAAGGAGTTTGACATTTTTTAAGGGATGTATGACGTAACTGTACAGTAGCTGTTAGACGAACACATATGTGAGAATGCTGTTCATTGATTACAGTTCAGCCTTCAACACCATTGTGCCCTCCAAGCTGGCCATCAAGCTCAGAGACTTCGGGCTCAACAGTGCCCTCTGTGACTGGATCCTGAACTTCCTGATGGGCAGACCCCAGGCAGTGCGGGTGGGAAACATCACATCCTCCACCCTGATCCTCAACACCGGAGCCCCTCAAGGCTGCGTGCTCAGCCCTCTCCTCTACTCCCTGTTCTCTCACAACAGCGTGGCCACACACAGCTCCAACACCATCGTGAAGTTTGCTGACGACACGACCGTCATCGGCCAGATCACAGACGGCGACGAGACGGCGTACAGAGAGGAGGTTGAAAATCTGACATCTTGGTACCAGGATAACAACCTCCATCTCAACGTCAGCAAAACCAAGGAGCTGATTGTGGATTACAGGAAGCAGCAGGGAGAGGGACACGCCCCCATCGCCTTCAATGGGACTACGGTGGAGAGAGTCAGCAGCTTCAGGTTCCTCGGTGTCCACATCACTGAGGACCTGACATGGACTCTTCACACTAACACCATCACCAAGAAAGCTCGACAGCGGCTCTTCTTCCTCCGCAGGCTGAGGAGGTTCAACATGGACTCCAGGATACTCTGCACCTTCTACAGGTACATAGAGAGTATCCTGACTGGCTGCATCACGGCCTGGTACGGCAGCTGCACCACCCTCAATCGTAAGGCTATACAGAGGGTGGTGAAAACTGCACAGAACATCACCAGGACGGAGCTGCCATCCATGGAGGACCTTTACTCCCAGCGGCTCAGGAAGAAAGTCCTCAGGATTATAAAAGTCCTGCATCACCCCAGCCACAAACTGTTCAGTCTGCTGCCGTCTGGCAGGCGTTACCGCAGCATCCGGGACTAAAACCACCAGACTCAGAGACAGTTTCATCCCACAGGCCATAAGACTGTTAAACACCTGAACTGCTGAAACAACATCCATAACATTCATCTACTTAGCCATTATTTATCTATTTCTCTAATATATCATTCCAATAACTGGCATATTATATAGACTCTTATTGCACTATTTCACTTTTTTAAACTATTTTTAATACCTGGAGACCAGAGGAATTTTCTCTCCCAGACCAGCTGCAAAATGTAAACGATCCAACAACCTCACAGTACAAATATGTTACTTTATCACATTAATAATAAATACGTTTTTATTTCATCTTGACAGCAAGTCGGACCCCCTGCTGCTTTTGCTGACTCATCACTCGCTGATCAAATAGTGAAAATGTCTGTTTGGGTTGACTCTCTTCACACAAAAACCCTCTCTTTAGATCCAATTACACTCTTCTGAAGCCACGCTGCCGTATCAAGCTGAGACACTTCTTGTTTTATTAAATACAGGAACATCTGGATGCAAAATAAACATAACTAGGGCTGTTTTATAGCAACAGGCCATCTAACGATATCTGTTCTGCACCTGAGGCAAGAGATGATGAAGCGGGGGCATCGTCAGATCAAATTAAGAGTGAGACCCCTGCAGCTATCCTCAGAGTTTACTCTTTTATATTATATGCCCAGTCATTTGCTGTTTTCTCGAAAGGAGGGGGGTCAGAGAGCTCCACAGCGACTCAGCAAAATGCTTCTGACAGCAGAGGTTTATTGAGCATGACACTGAACCTAGGGGGGGGGGGTTTAAAGGAGCACAGAGAGAATATATTTCTATAGGATGAGCTTCACAGAGAGGCCAACGAGGCTTATTGAATCATGGGAATACTTCATATGTTACAGTATATGTATACACAGAGTTGGGTGTAACAATAATAACAACTAAAATAAGTAACTGTAATAATATTACCTTTGCCGGTAACGGAGTGGTGTAACGCGTTACTTTTATAATTCAGTAATCACACTACAGTTACTAACATTGCCCCGACACGCGTTACTTCGTTACTTTTATAAAATAATCACACTCACTGACAGACTAGAGGGGTTTCCGCCGCAGGTTTATATACATGTAGGCCTATGTAATCTGCGC